CAAAAGATAAATATCAGTTTTCCACTAGGGATTTTTCATTGATCATACATTTAGTGCGTGACTATACAGCCACGCAATTCTTTTCTTTTTGTCTTTTTCTGTTACCACATATACAGTTTAGTTTTGCGGCTGAGTATTTTGTTTGACGCAGTAAATTTTTGAAAAGTGAGCCTTACCCCATATGAAAATGTTCCGCCGCCTCTGGATAAAGTCATATCTAGACTATACTCTGTTATGATATACAATGCACAGATTGATAACCAACTATGAAATTTTACAGAGTAGTAATAATCGTTGCTTGTTGTTCGTTTTCTATATAGTCTACTTCTTCATGTTTTCTGTTACTGAATTGTTTATGCATGATTAAGCATGACTATTATTGCTATTTGTATTAAGCGTACAAAAAATGGGTGTTAAAAAATTTCGGATTTTGAGCTGAGCATAGCCTAGTGTAGCGAAAAGTGTGGGCTACAAAACGAGACCACCCCCAGCATTCCACGACCTTTCTTCAAAAAAATATGCATTTTTGAAGTTTTTCCTACAAAGCTTAAAGGCTCCATCTTTTAGTTTCATAAACTTTTCTCTCCTTTTCTGACGATTCAAAATTTTTCTTACACATAGTCTGATAGAAGAAAGTATTTCCTTCACAATGAGATGTTTTTCAGAATTTTCCGATGAGTTTTCATGAAGCTATAAGAATCGCGGCAAATGCTCTGAAAAAAGTGACCTGTGTACAAAATGCTTTTTCTCGAAAACTATTTTTTTGCTACTGGGCTTCATTGTGTCACATAACGACCCCCTCCCTTAAAATCCATCATATCGAGTTAAAAATTTTACCTGAGGTACTCAAGACACGATCTGAGACATATTGTTTTTGAATTTTATTTTATATCTTTCTTTACCGAGTTATAGGGTTTCTAATATTGGAAAACTTGGTTTTTGAGACGTTTTTCAATACTTTTGCCATAACTGGATATGGAAAGGTCTTAAAAAAATTCCCAGAAATAACTCTACTATATTACCTTGAGTATCTGTGGTAAAATTTATAACTCGATTTAAGGGGGGTCGTAATCTCATACAATGAAAACCCGAGTTTTCTGCAAAACTCGTGAACGGTATTAGTTAAAAACTTGAAACAAAAATGAAAAAATGCTCCATTGAGTTTTCAATCATTTCTGAAAATATGAAGTCTTAGTGACTTTCAGTTCTTATTTCCCAGCATTTCTACGGAACGCCCAAAAAGAGGGAGGTGGTACCCTTAAGGTGTATTTTGTGACGACGTGATGCTGAAAATTTGAGTATTCTCATTGGTATTAAGTCTGTCATGAACAATTAGAGCAAACAACGAAATCACATTTAATGAAATGTTCAGACTCATAAAGTTCTATAAATAACTATTCCTTTAAATAATGCAATCTTAGCATAAGGATAAGATAGAAATAATCTACTTATCCACAATAACATACTAGAAAAACTTTGACGAATGAATTTGGGTGATTTGAAGAAAACAAACACAGCGTAATCTGACTGTTCTTTTCCGCCAGAAAATTAGTTTTAATCTGTAGTCTTGTACATCTGTAGTTCATAAGTATAATTTTGTTTCTACCTAAAAATCTATCATTAATTTCACGGCAAATCTGTTGCCATGCCTTCGAAAAATGATTGTTAGCACTTAAATCTAAATATTTGAACAATACAGTTCATTTGACCAGCATTTCTCATCCATTCTGTTGTTGACTTTTTAGTAATTTAATAAGTTTTCTTTTAACAGCTTAGTAGAAATTTTTTTCTTCTATATAAAACACTTGAGCATGATTTTTTTGTTATGTTCTTTGGCTTGTTCTTTTCTCGTTTAGAATAATAACTACACACGATCAGTATATTCCCGCTTATACTTTTCTTTACATCAAATATAAATGAATGTGCGTGAGTAAATGTTACATAGAAGAAGAAAAAGCAACGTATGTGACTAATAGTTTGACGTCAACAAAAATAAATTTATATAAATAGCATAAAGATAAATCAAAGAAAGCCTCATTTTCTTTTCTTGTTCATTGTGGTGGAGTGAATTATTGTAAATTAATAAACTTTAATAAAATTAAAATCAATGTGGAATCAACAAGGTAATCAGCAACGTCAAGCAGGACCAGGAGCTCCTGGTTCGTCTGCATCTCAGCAGCCGTACGGTGCAAATACGAGCGGTTATCCACCTCAGTCAGGATATCCTCCGCAGCAACCAGGCGGCTATCCTCAGCAGCCAGGTGGCTATCCTCAGCAGCCAGGTGGCTATCCTCAGCAACGAGGGCCGTATCCATCGAGTCAATCAGGTGTAAATAATTCTCAAGGCTACCCTTCTCAAGCTGGTTATCCGCCTCCTTCTGGTCCTCAAACTTCATATGGCACCGGTGCTAGTGGTCCATATCCTTCATCAAGTAGTTCTGGTCAATATCCTTCTCAAGGACAACAACAATCAGCATACGGTTCTTATAATCCACAACAGCCACAGGGATATGCCGGTGGTTCAGCAATGTCAAATGATGTGCGTATGCAAAAGTTGAGTAATATTATCATGAAATATGAAATTAATCAACAATTTGCATCAAGAATAAAGTCTTTGGAAGGATTTGAAATTGTTTTATTGTGTGATGACAGTGGTTCAATGAATACTCCACTGGGAAATAGTAATCAAACGAGATGGGACGAATTAAAAACATTGGTTAAGTACGTTTGTGCGGTCTACTAATGTTAGCCTCATACCAATAGTTACGCTCTGTTTGAATATGTTTTAGTATTATTGTTGATATTTGTGCCGTAATGGACTCTAACGGTGTTGATATTTTCTTTCTTAATCGAAAACCGTCATTGAATGTTACTGACACAACTCAGGTACATCAAGAATTTAGCAATCGTCCACAAGGGCTAACGCCAATTGTACCTGTTCTTCGACATATTCTTCAAGGAAAACGAACCCAAAGTATGGAAAAAAAATTATTAATATTAATTGCTACTGACGGCGCACCAACAAATGAAAGTGGACAAGTAGACATTGGAGCATTAGAACATTTATTGCGAACTGAAAGAACTCCACAGACGTATGTTACGTTTTTAGCTTGTACTGATGATAATGATTCAATTGGCTATTTGAGCGGCTGGGATAAGAATATACCGAATTTAGACGTTATAGATGATTATCGAAGTGAAAAATTGGAAATACAACAAAAGCGTGGACCGAATTTTCCATTTTCCTATGGTGATTATATTGTTAAATCATTACTAGGATCAATCGATCCATGGTAAGTTCAGAAATTTGTCAAATCATCGTTATTCAGTTGATTATGTTCATTATTTTTCTTCCAGGTTTGATCAATTGGACGAGAGAGCATAAACTATTTGGACAGATGATGAACATTACATTATACACGTACATTCTTTGCGAAATATTTTAATGTTATTTTCTATTCATTTTTTATTATACAAACAAAAGTTTTTAACATGTTAGAAGCTTCTTACATTTAAAAGAGCCATTACTAGAAATTGTGTTTTGAGTAATTGGACACGTACTTCAGAGAATCTTTCTAAGGTTCTCTGAGTCTTCTGAGAAATCGTATAATAATATAACTATCTGTTTGAAAAGAGTTCCATTCAGACCTGATATTCGATCAATCACCTGTGTCAATAAAGTTTTAAGTCATCGTCATCAGATCCGGTAAAAGTTTTGTGAAACTCCTAATAATCTGAAGGATTCAAAGAGATGAAGAAAATCTGTGGGTTTTATCAATCTCTTACCTATCCACACCAAACCTTCTCGACGAACAAACTGATCACGTGATGTCTCATCTCTTATGGTGGATTTTTTATATGACCAGGTTTCTTCTTTGCAAATTAGCTATGATTTTGTTTTACTGTTTATTCTATGTTGTTATCGGGTAATCGTGTTTTCTCTAAATGTTGATCTGATCTTCCAAACAGTGATAAGATTTGGAATTTTTTTTAATACTAGGATGTCCTCCTCTACAGCAAAAATATCATAATATTTTTATATATAATATGTTAATATATATATATATTTTATATATAATATGTTATATATATATATTTTATATATAATATGTTTTTTTCGCTGTGTTCGATTGTATCGACAGTATGAGGACATGTGCGTTTTATCGTGTCCTCAGTTTCACTCATTTTATATGTCCACATTCATGGTTTTGCTATACTGTGGCTGACGAGGGAACCCCACGAAGTGATTAAACGCTTTTTGCTCGGAATCTAGCGGGTTATAGGTTATCGACCATGCTGATTAC